ATATATATATGTATTTCTATTTTGTGTTTGCTTATAGTGGAACACCTACAAATATTTTTAGTTTATTATTTTTAGAAAATGGTCTTACCGAATTACAAATATATTATGGAAACTATGTGACACCCTAGCTACAATAATATTTTGTTTGATTTTTATATGTTTTATTATGTTGTGACATGTCCATATTGTTAGGCCTAAAGTTATTTACTATAATTAAAATAATAAGAATTAATTTGGTTAGTGTCCTCAAATTTGTTATCAGTTTCATAAAAGTTTGACCTTTGCAGGTTTGAAAATTGATTTACAAGCAAATAATGGAAAATTTTCAAATTTATTTTGTCTCAAGTACTCTTTCTTTTTAGCATGGTTTCTAAATTGCTACCTTGCGGCCAATTTAAAATTGTGGTCCTTAAATTAAATTGGCTAATCTAGTTTACAAATAAATTAGGCTTTAATCTCCTTTCTCCACTAGAATTTTAATCTTGAATTAACTTTTATATTAGCATAACATTGCCACCTTAGTTTTGCTCATTATAATAATGCTATTTAAGTTAAAAAGTTTTATTTAAGTTAATTTTTATGCTATTTGACTTTTATATTAGCATCGTAAGATGATAGATTTGGATTTTCTTGACATCAATTGATCAATTATTACATGTTTTGCTTAAATTAGATATTGAAATACTATTTAACTTTTCGTTAATAGCTAGACAACATTTAGAATATTATTTTATGAAAATACAGTTTTGCAAACAGCATTAATCAAAAATATGTATTGTATAAAAGTAACCTTTATTGTGCGTAAGAGTAAATTGTGTGTGTATATATATATATATCTAAAATTAAATTTTGTATTATAAATTAAAATCCAAATTACGTAGTTTTAAAATGATTCTATATTTTCATTTAATTTTTTGCTTTTAAAGAAAATATAAATAATTAAATAATCAAATTATATAATTAATCTCTATACTTTGTTAAAGTCTTGAATTTAGTCTTTGTATGTTAATTTATAAAAATTGAACAATATTAATATAATCGTTAACGATGTTAAAATTTTACGATTGTATATGTTGACATAGCATTTGATCAAAAACCCTTATGAAGATAAATCATTTTAAACACACATAATTACTTTGCCAAGAAAAAAAAACATAAGAGTAATAATAAAATGAGTAAATTATATAAAAAGTATCTCGTGATTTGAGATAAAATAAATTAATTTTTTTAAATTTAAAATTTGACACTCAACTAATATTGTTTAAAAAAATTGAATGTTTTTAATTTTATAAATTT